ATCGAGTGACTAGCACCACTGTTGGCGAAAGCTGTACCAGAAACACCACCAATACTAATTCGAAATACAGCAGTCCATAGATAAACAGGATAGAATTTGGATAGTGCCAAAATTTGAAGTCTTTGAGGGGTTACAGTCTGGAGATTTAGACTTGATAAAATCAGCTTTTCCACACCCTTAACATGTTAAAGGAGGTCGGTTTTCCTCCATTTGCTGCTGACCACGATTTGAAAAGGTTTTTACAAGTTCCATGTATGTCACTTGTTCAATTTTCTACTTTGTGTTTGAAAGAATAGTTCCGTCTGCCATGAAGTTGAGTTTTATAGTTTGTACTTTTAACATGTGTGTGATAAGGTACTTTGGCGTGTGATAAGTTTAATTCAAAATGATTCAGCATTTAATTTCAATTTTTGGGGCAGAATCTTCTTGATGTATGAAAAATCTTCTAATTTATCCTTCGGTTCTCTTAAGTTGTGAAATGCCTGTAGGCAGAAGAGCTAGGGGATTAGTGATGTAATCTGTTTGTTTTATATTAACTTTCTCACATTGTCTTTCAAAAATTTGCAGTTAGGTTGCAATGTCAGAAGTTCCTGTAAATTTAGGTATTAGGTGTTGAATATTTGTTTCAATAGCTGCATTTGAAGCAAAGGCAGCATAGTTAGGATTTGAGCTAGCAGCTGCCAGGTTTAATTTTAAACGCTGCAATTCTAATAAAAGTTCTTGTTCTTTTCTTTAACGTGCCTCTAGATCATTGCTTTCACGTTGTTTTTGTTGACTAGTTTCGATTAAAGTTTCCAGAAGATTCCTGGTAAAGCTTCATCATAAGTGTCAGAATTGAGGATAAGATCTAAAGGTCTATCACTCGCATAGTATCGTTTACGGTGAAACCCAGTTCTGTAGTGTGAGTTTTTAAATCCTCTTTTCGCGCTTTGCAAGGTAAGCCAAAATTATATGAGAGGTCGGGGGGAAGATGAAATTGAATTTGTTGCTATTTCGATGTTATTCACAATACAGTATTTTTGCACTTACAGTATTTTCAAATTAATAATTATACTTTTAAGTAAAATGTATATACAGTCAAAAGTCGTTAATCCGGACTCGTCGGGACATCGGTGATTCCGCATTATCGATTTTTCCGGATTATAGATCATCAGTTTAAATCTGGTAAGATGGCATGCAGAAATTATAAAATTAAAAATATGAAACCATAATTTATGAAATAAAAAACAATTATGATCTAAAGGGTATCAAAATTTCCAAAAAAAAGCTTAAATTTATTGTTTATTTATAAACATTTCTTTCAGGTAGTTAAGTTGCTGTTTTTTTTATATGATAATACATTCTCTTTAATCTATAAAAAGACATAATTTCTTGTTCAGTACAAAGTTTCCGCTGTTCAAGTCCTATAATTGCTGTGTCTACCGACTAATTTGTCAATCGAAATTTTTTTGTTTTCAATAACCTGTATGTCACTTTCTTTACTATCGGAAGCGAATTATAATGACGAGGAATTTGATTTAAATCATATCAAAGATGAAGTACATTGAGATGAAATACTATATTTAGTAAGGAATAATAAGCCAAATAAAATAAAAACATCTGTCCTGAAGGTAAGGATAGTGCTGACAGATCAACTTCAATTCATTGCGCATCCCCCTCCCCCGCCGCAGAGCAGCAAATAATTGATAAATTATGAAATAATTAATGAAATAATGAACAATCGAAATTTTTTCATTTTCAATAACCTCTATGTCACTTACTTCACTATCGCAAGCGAATTATAATGACGAGGAATTTGATTTAAATCATATCAAAGACGGAGTACATCGAGATGAAATACTACATTTAGTAAGGAATTATAAGCCAAATAAAATAAAAACATCTTCCCTGAAGATAAGGATAGTGCTGAGTTCGAATTCATTGGAAGGTCATCTATCAGCACTATCCTTATCCCCCGCCCCCGCCGAACGCAGAGCAGTGTGAAATTGATAAACAGATTTCGGAATGGTTAGAGAAACGAAGAATATGCCTTTATCCATTTTTTGCTGCAATTCCACTTTTTGTTTGATGCACATAGAAATATACTTTCGCTTTGTAGATCCTTTGGGAGCTCCACCATCGGAAATTCTATTTGACTAATCGAAAGTTCAGCTTACTTTTATAAAATTGCTTAACATCTGCAAAAAATAATAAGCGGATCCAATTCGAAGATTAAGGAACAACACAATCTGCAACATTAACTGAAATAGATAATTTTAGCTTTTTTTAACTCAAAGGAATACCATCCGTTATACATTAAACACGCATGCGTAAACGTATTATGCGCTTGCGCACAGGCATATGCGCAGCCGTAAAGGTCTTACGCGCATGCGCAAACGTCTGTGCGCATGCGTCAAAACGAGACATGCGCAGAAAGTTTGTAGCTTTGAGGTCCGGATTATGGGTGTCTGAATTAATGACTTTTGACTGTACCACTATTAAACAACATGTATAAATGTAAACAATAATACACATACATTTATATACCACTATTAAACAGAATTTATAAATGTAAACAATGTTACTTGCAAAGTTGTCATATCTGAGTCATAAAAATATCATAAAATGCCCTTATAAATTCAACTTGTATCCAGAAAATAACATATAATAAATTTCTGAAAAATTTTTTTACTACTTAGCAAAACATACATAAATGTCTTACCATATGCTTTTATTCAAACTGAATTCTTCTAAATCTTAAACAAAACATTAAGCAATACAACAAAACATTAAGCAATACACATTAGTAATTCTTTTACCTTAGTTAAATAGTCATTCTATTTTATTCATAATTATTTTCTTTCATTTCAAGAAGTATTTTTCAAGACATTCATTCATTAAAGAAAAACAATTGCATTTTCTTAGAGTATACTGTAACCATTTGTTCAAAATGTTCGTCAAAAGATAAATCAACAAGTAATGTATTTTATTTTATGTAGGATAAAACATTTACTGAGTATTAACGGCACTCAAAGGAAATAAAATATAATCAAAAGATTTGACGTAAAATAAGCATAAATTATCACTAGTCTAACATTCCGCGGGGGGAAAAACATTTGCTGCTGTAAGTTAGAATTGAAATTAATAAATTCTAATGAACAATGTCCTTGAATATATTCAAAACTATATCATCAAAACATGTATTCAGTGTGACAATAGTGTCCACAATTTAATTTAATATGCATATTAACATTATAAATAACAAATTACACTTCATAAATAACCATCTGGTAACAGAAAAGTCGTTTCCTTTCGTTTAATACTCTTTATATAGTATCAAGAAATCAGATTTCAATAAGGAATTTACATTTGCTTTAAGAAGCAGCTTAAAATAGATAATCTGTTTAAAAGAATTTTAAACTTAGATTAAACGTTAACGTAAACGAAAATTATCTTTTTAACAATAATTTAAAAGAAACTTATCTTTTCCATTGAAAGTGTCTGTGCTAGCAGCATGGCATGACAGTTTTAATTCTAGAATTTTGACCAGCAGTCCACACCTGAAAAGAGATTGAGATTTGGAAGTATTGGCTTGTTAAAGCCAAACAGAAATTCGCAACATGTTGTTACACCATTTTGGATTTAAGTTTATTTGGGCACCAGTGTGATGTAGCCATTCCTCAATAGACACTAATGCTGGCTAGCTTTAAAAAGGATTTATTAACAGAGCACACAGAAACGGTTACAAACAAAAAATATGCATAAAAAAATGAAACATATTCTAAATGGAACATCAAACATTAGAATTAAGAGACTGCTTTAGGTCAACTGCCGTTTTTCCTCTTTGTCACTAGATGGCGTTTCAATAAAATAGTTTGGTTACAGTTAAGTAGTTCATGGCGTTCAATAAAATAGTTTGATTACAGTTAAATAGTTCTGTTACAAGCTAAACTTATCAAGCATTTGCTTTATAGTTAGTATGAAAAAATTATAAGCAATTACGAATACTTTTTTTACCCACTGTAAGTATAAAGCAAATATCTGCTGGTATAGCTTTCTTTCATACATAAAAGCTGCCATTTAATATTTTTCATGTTACTATCCATTTTCTCTTTCATCGGAAAATTGGAATTCTTAATCTTTGATGTGATCTTAAGTATCAAATTTTATTTGTAAATAAATGAAATTTCAAAGGATTTCTGTATTTAGAAAACTTACATTTTAAGTACTTTAAAATAATCTGACATAGAATTATTTAAAATTCCCTTAGGCAAAAATTTTTTAAAAAATATTTATTTATTTATTTATTTTAACTAGCAAAAATAATGTGTTTGAAATTCAGAATTGATAAGTAGGGTAAAGTTTCAAGGGAATTCTTGTTTTGCTCATCCATTGAAGGAGGGTTGGGTAGGATTAATCCATTGAAAGATGGAATAAGATTAGTACAAGCCCATCACATGAAATTTTCTTTGATCTGCAACTGAAAGTTAATGCCAAACTCTAAATGCAAATAACTGAAAACCTATCTTGTCACATATGACTAAAAGTAGGCCCTATGTATTAATGTAAATTTTCAGGGAATCTTGTAAATTATGAAAACCGGCTGTCACTGTATCAGAATATGAGTTAGATCCACAGAAAGTCATGTTTACATGAAAAAGATTCGTTAAGGCATCAGTTACTGGAAGGATACAATCGTTCATAAAGTACTTGTTTCTAATGCCAACTGTTTGAGACTTCTGAGAATAAGTGACCAGTGGCAGTAAATCAATGTGAAATTTCTTTCTGCTATGGTAATTTAAAACTGTATTATTTATTCAACGTGAAAAAAGCTGGAACTGCATAGAAAGATTTTTGCCACATTCTTTGTACTTTTTCAGACTTGCCCTGTTATATTCCATTATTTGTGGTGAATTAAAATAAAGAAATGATTGCAAAAATTCAGTTTCTCTTATTCTCTAAAAACTGTAGATAATTTTTTTTTTAGCAATTAGTTAAAAGGAAACAATTTTTTTTGGTAGCTATCACGTGTTGTTTTGGAAAGCTACTGTCCATTGTTTAAGAAGAAAGATCTTCGATTGTCCAGAATCAAGGATGCAGATAGAAGTGAAGTTTTGCTCTTTAAACGATTGGAGTGGCAAGTTTTGCGTATTGAAGCTAAGTCACGTAGTAATGATGCAAATGGACTATGTGGTGATGTACCTCTCTCTCCATTGCGTCTTATTACAAATCAAGGTTGTTGTAAAATGACAATTAAAAAGAAATTAACAGGTTTGTATATTTCAAATTCAAATTTTTTTCCTACTAGTAACTATGTTTTGTATTGATGATGTATGTTTTTTTTTTTTTTGTAATATAATGAAACATATATCATCTAGATGAAACTTGTACATAAGTATGATTTTGTGTGTAATTTTTAAGTAAAAATTGAATTTTTTGTCATTCTGTAATATGCCGAATGAGTCATACATTAATTCACTGTGGAGTCTTACATCATTACATCTTGGTTTGCAATCTTGTATTCAAAATGATTTTATATGTAAATAAGAAAATATCTGATATGTAAAATGTTTACATTTTCTTTTATTGTGTAAACTTTCTGTAGAGTATTAATTTTTATGCCTTTAAAAAATCTTATTTATTACTATCATTTTAAAGTTTCTGAGGTCTTTCAGTCTACATTGCTTATATTTGTAAATAAATGAGCCATTTAATGTCATTGTGTGCTCAGTTGTATTTTACATTTTTATGATAATAAATTTCATTAACTTTTTTAACCTTAATAAACTAAGTAATTAATAATTAAATAATAATTTTTAAAATGCATTACTAGCACCATATATATTATGCTGTTTAATAACAGAATTTTTTCCTAGGGAAATTTTATATACAGTGATGTAAAATCTTCAGAATTTAGTTTAATTTTATATTTGTTTCAATACAAATATATATATATTTTTAATAAACTTGACCCCTTTATTCCAAATGTTACATGTGCCTTTCAGTAAAATATTGCTAGCAAAATATTTGTATTGTTAAAACTGAAGAAATGTTTACTTTGAAACAAATGTTAATTTTTATTCATAATTCATTTATTTTAATAGTAATACTGTTTTACCAATCCTTATGAAAATCTTTTGTGAGTTAAACTACGTAAATTACGACACAGATTTTTGTATTTTTAATTAATCATAAAACAGTTTAAAATTGAGCTTTTGATTAATTTATAATGAAATTATATGCAACTCCATTTCATATATATGAGCAAAAAAGGGCTGAATTTAAGGATTAATTTTGTATTTAAGAAGTTGGAATTGCAAATGGAAGATAAACAACTTTAAATCAACATCACAAAAGAAAGCACTTAATTTCTAAATTAGTGTGGGCTTATTCCTTATAATTCCTAACAACATGAAAGAATACAAAAAGTAGATGCCATTTAGGGTTGTTAACATTATCAAATGCTTTTCATGCAGTGAATGGTACATTTTAAAAAGATTGAAGCTAATCTGAAACATGAGTTTATGTTATGCTTTGATTGTTACAGTTTTTATGTGCTTAATACAAAGCATTTTTTATTTTCAAAACACTATTTGCATATTCCCATATGATTATTTATTGTCCCCTTATATGCCTTTCTAAAAACTATATCAGTTTTAGTATGCCACATTTAAAAAATATGTAAAAATAATTAGATTTATTTTTAACTTTTATAATAAATGAAAGCATATTTAATTTATTTCCCATCAAGTGTATGCAAGGAATTAGTATATAAAAATTTTTCTTCTTCCTCACTCCATGACTTTCATGGTGTAATTTAAAAACTTGTCTGGCTGGCACTCGGGAGGACCGGAATTTCTGGGGGTGCATCACTAATTTTTCCTGTTTCATGCTTTGAAAGACACCTTATGACTGTACAGGTGGAAAATTAAAATGTGGTGAATGACTATTCATCACAACCAAGATTTGATGTTCCTTCCTCTCACTTGCCCCTTTGAGTGGAAGAAAATATAGAGTTTTCTCCATCCTTAGCAGTTGTTTTCATGATGTAATTAGAAGCATGTTTGGATGACATTTGGGAGGTCCAGAGTTCAAATCCCAGTAAGAGCAGTGTTCATTTTTTACATTTTCTGTTCTGAAATAAACTTGATGACTCAAAAATGTGTATCTTCAACTTATTAAGTTATATACTACAAATTATTTGTTATACCATTTTTTCCTTCACTTTGTTAAGCATCTTCAGAAATGTAGTTTTTTCTATATTTGTGTAGACATTTTATTATTCACCCCTTTTACAATGTCTCTTTATATCAGAAATATAACCTTCATGTGTGTTTGTTCTTGTTTAAGGTTGCACATTTGTTAGAAAGACATTTATAAATATTGTTTCCTAGGCAGACAAATTTCAGTACATACTTTCATTGTTTCAGGTATTTTAAAATTCATACTGAAGACATTTGCCTGAAGAAATCAATATTATTAAATTTCTATTTCATTCCACTTTATACAATTATTACTAATAAAGGCCATAGTATAAGCATTGATTGAATTCTTATTGTGATGCGTAGCATTCATTCTTTGAGTGGAATGTAAATTTATAACCATCAAATTCTTATAATTTGATTCTTGAAAATTTATTCAAAATGAATTATTAATTGTAAAATAAAAGATTTCGAGAATTATTTATGTTAATAGTATATGTAAACATAAATATAGCTGGGGCAGAATCTGCCATTGTTCTTTTTGAATCTTATGCTAAAAAATATTCAAAAAGGTCAAGCTTGCACTTTTCAGGGTGTTATCTGTTTTAATAAGCTGAATACATTGAAATTGAAAGTGCCTGTAATGAATGTGAATTTAACTTTTTTACCGTTTGGAAAAATTTTATTAACAGATTTAAGATCAGCTGGAAAAAATGTAGACTGACACTTTCACTTCCATTTAATAAACAAGTGCTGGGTGAGGGGACATTCAGAGTTAGGTAATTTTTATCAGTGATGCTTCCTGACTCTTTTCTCTTTTCAATTTGTAATTTGATCAAGCTAAGGTGTAATCCCGATAACAACATAAAATCTGCAGAGTAGAAATATTTCTCTGGCAGCCGAACAAGACATCAAAGTAGGAAAATGCATCTTGCTAACTAATGAATGGGAGGAAAAAATTTCGTAATTGTATTAAATGGAACATCATTTACTTTTGAGGTAGTTTGAGTCAAAATTGTGACAATTTATGGGAAGGATTATTTAATCTCAATGTTAATCATTGTCCTTAAGTAAATGCGTTTTTCTTAAAAATGTTGTGATTGGGGAAGGAAATAATATGTAATTTTTAATTTAACATATAAAAATGGTATTTGTTCAATCAAAATGTTTTATAACTGTATGTTAAAGCAAAACTGTTTAATAAACTGATTATAATCTCTGCATGATTATGTATGAAATTGCAACTAACTTGACCTTTTTTTATGTCTAGGAAGAAAGTCTATTTTTATTTAATTTTTTTTTCTTTTGCAGATTGTAGTGTGATTGGTTCTAGACTTATATTTGTATTGGATGATTTGCTTTGGGTTCTCACCGATGCTCAGCTTGTTGCTGCTCTGCATTTTTTACAGTCTTTAAGTGGTTTGGTTCAAAAAGCTACTGAGGTTACTCAAAAACTGAAAGCTAAACAAAAATTAGAGGTAATAATAGAATGAAAGAAAACCTGTATGTATTGGGGAAGTAGTCACTTTTTGTCAATGTAACTCGACTTAATTATACATGGTTTAATTTATAGGGTTTTACTTGATCTGGTAATGTTAATTTGTCCCAAAACCCTAATAGCAGCAAAACAAATTATTACTGCATGTGAAGTAAATACAAACTGATGAGAAGGTTTAAATAACCTTTTTATTTAAGCAGGATTTAGAATATAAATGTACTCTATTGTGCAACAATATCAGCCACAGCTCGTGGTAATGCAACTAAATACAGTAGATAAATTTTAGTCAAACGTGGAATAATAATTAAAAACTACACAATTAAGCATTACAGTAAGCAGCTGTCTCAGAAACTCAGTGTCATAATGAAAGTGTTGGCAGTGATAGAACGCAAAGCCAAATAATTGCAGCTATCAGCACTGGAAGAAAACTAACATGTAGTGGGCATTTCAAGCCAAAAACATGCTCTGTCTTAAAATCCAAAAGCTTCAGTTTAAATACTTGCTGTCCACCTCATTTGCATTTTGGTGAGGAATACTCCTTTCTGTAATTTTGAGCCTGTTGCAATTTTTTTCCATAAGATTTGCGTGAATATGCCCAGACTGGGCAGGCATAGCATAGTATGGGATGCAATACAGTTTTATAAATAAGCAACTTGTCTATTGAAAGTACACTGTTTCGAGAAATTAAGGGGTGAAGTGTGACTTTAGTAACTCGAAAATTATTAAGTATAGATGTTATTGTGGTACCATATAGGTTGTTAATGAGAATCACCCAGATAAGGACTTGCCTGGCCTGGTAGCACTTCTCCAAAGTTGCAGTTTTTTTTGAATTATCTCTGGTGAACAGAATTGCTTGACTTGTCCACATTACCTTTGATTTTCCATTTTGTCAGCCAAGTCTCGAGTATGTTTATATAGTCCTGTAGTCGTTGTATTGCTGGACTAACAAATGCACTTTGTGAGAGGATTGCAGTGCCATCAGCATACATTGCGAGTGTTGTGTTCTGTGTAGTGGGAATATCGTTCATGTAGATATTGAATAAAGTAGGTCCAAGCATACTTCCCTGGGGGAGCCCAGCAAGGATTGCCCTACGTGTTGAGAGTGTATTTGAGATGCGAACGACAAAGTGTCTACTGGTTAGATAGGATTTAACTATGTTTGTAATGTAACCTGGGAAGACCAGGTTGTGTAGTTTGTAGTGAGTGCATCCAGCCATACACGGTCAAAGACTTTTGCTAAGTCTAAGAACAGTCCTCCTGTTACTTTCTTTTTCTGTAGCCCTTCACTGATATGTTCTACAATACTGTATAGCTGGTTGACCGTAGAATGTCTGCTTCAAAATATGAATTGGTGAGGAATGATGTCTATTCTTTCACAGATTTGATTAACGGTTAGTATACAGCCTCCATAATTTTCTAATGAGGATCGCAGACTTTCGGCGTATACTCTGGTGAGCTCCGACTTTGGGTTTCAGAATTTGTGTGGAAATGCTGCCATATATATAAGGTTGACAATCTTTGTGAAGAACCGTAGGATTTAACTGGAATTTCTTTATCATTCTATTGCTTATGTGTCATAACCAGGGCTCTTTTGTTCTTCGCTTTTTAATGTAGAGCAACTCCATGGCAGGACTAGGATCGTCTACTTGCATATAGTTTTGTGAATCGTATTAACTGTCTGTAATGGGGTCGTAATGTGTTAGTAACAATTAAGATTCACATGCTGTGGCTAAAAGTTTTGCTGTCTCATTATCTGTGTAATGATCCTTGAGGGCCTTTTATCCTTGGGGCAGAATTGTTGTGGCATTTTTATACCTTTTGATCGCTTTCCATATGGAGTTATCGTCTCTGGAGAGGGACTCCAGGTAGTTAGCCCAGTGGAGTTGTGAGTAATAATTAATGCGAGACTTGACTGTATCACACAGCCTATTGAAAATAGTTTTGTTCTGTCTGGATCTGGTTCTCTGAAATTCTCTCCTGGCACCATTGTGTTTTTTGATGAGCTGACTAAGTTCCTTGTATCTGACAGATTTAGGCTGTTTCATTTCTCTCTGAGCACTTTGGCATTTTGTACTGCACAGGTAAACTCCTTGATTAAAGTATAAATGTCATTGCCTGAATGTACTGTTGGAGTTGTATACTGAATGTTGTTTAGAGCTTTGGCAAAAATTTGCTGGTCAGTTTTAAAGGCTCTTTTGACTGGTGTAGTGTAACTACTGATGTCCAGTATCAAACGGACCGGATTGTGGTCGGAAGATAATTCATCCAACACAGAAACATCCAGCGGAACACTGGTGTTTCTGAGAAGGAAGAAGTCTAAGATACTAGCGGAACCAGTAGTATATCGTGTTGGGGTACTTGGAGCTGCTATCTGAAATGGGACCCTGTGGGCCAAGTTGTATATGACATTGCCGATAGTTTTAGAATTATAGCAGTTCCATGCGCGGTGTCGAGCGTTCAGGTCTCCCCTAAATTGTGTACCAGTTGAGTAATATTGTTGAGATCTGCCTCAACAGCTGTGCGGAGTTTTGATGGTGGTATATATAAGTGGAGACAAACGTGTATGTTGTGCCTGTGTTTGTTGTGATGGAGATAGCTGTGGCTTCAATGGCTGAAAGCTGTGGGATTGTTATTTGATAGTGAGGAATGCAGCATTTTGATAGTGAGGAATACAGTGTTTTGATAGTGAGGAATGCAAAGGCCAGTAATGGAGAATATAATATTCAACAAAAGCAAGCAAATGTGATTTTTCTCCCAGACTAACAGATTCCAGCATGCTACTTTCAAATACATGCTGGCTAGGGAAGTTGCACTTTGGCTAATGAGTGACCATTGATTGTCACTGTATTAATGTTAGACAAAATTAAATTTTGGCTGTTGAATGGCTGTTGGGGATTATAATTTTTTTTAAATTTAAATTGCACAAAAGTGAAGGCCCAGTGTTGCCATGTTTATATTTCATTTTATGAGATTTTAAATTGATCTGAAACTGAAGTCCAGAAATATTCGGAATCACTAAGGCCCCTAGCAATTCCAAGTCTTGCACTTTGTACTTTTTTTTGGGGGGGGGGCTTAGAATGTGTGCTCTCTCGAAATGCTGTTCAAGTAATATTTTCATATTCTAATAAAGGTAGTCCAACTACTTATGATGTTCCTGTATTATTTGTTATTAACAGTTTATTTTTATGATTTGTTCATTTTTAAAATAAAAAATTTGTTTTCCATGGTACAATTTCATTACGTAAAATTTAGATATGTAGCATTTTCTGGGGCTTGCTAATAAAGATTTTTATTTATTTATTTATTTATTTTTTTTGTAGAATTTTATCTTTTTAAAATTTCATACACGTATTTTTGACACGCATATTGCTGCATTTTATTTATAATGCATGTTGCAATTATTATACATTGTTGTTAGTTTAGCTTATAATTTTGGTTGACTAAGACACACACATATGTATAAATTATTAATAAGCAAAATAATCTCAATTTAAAGCACTTCTTATTATACAGCCTCTGCTTTATAAATAAACAAAA